GTCTGGATTTGTTTGTTGAAACATGTAGAACTGTACAGAAAAATGGGTGACTGGTACTGAATGATAATTTACATGGTACACAATATATAATTTACCTTAAAAATATGATTTTACTTTGAAAAACAATTATGCAATAGTAAAAGAAATGTGTCAATGATTAAAATTGCAGTAATAATAAATCAAACTACTTGATAAATTTTAGGATAAATTTTCATATTAAAAACATCAAGAAAAAAACCACAAAGACCTCTAGAATGTCACCATATCCTAATTTTTCCTTCTACAATTAAGAAAAAGCTTAGAATAAATCATTTTACTAATGAATATTAAGTATGATCAAGTAAACCTGATATATCTGGGGATATATTCAGTGAACAGGTCACTAGATAATTTAATTAGCTTACTTCAATTCTATTTCCAAGCTACTCCTCATGATTTTAACATAATACATGAATAGAATATATTAAAACTTTTTTATTTTATAGTCTCCTCATAAGTCAGTGATAAGCACTTAAGCAGTTCTGTCCTGACCTATATGAACTGCAGGTAATAAGCCATTTTTTTCCTCTGAGAGTGAAAATCTCAATGCCTGCTACATGAATGATTTGGGAATATGGAGTAATTTTGTTTCAGATCTTTTGAAGGCTATGGAATTGAAGCAAAATTATTTTAATATTAGTGAGTATTCTATTAATAAATCTCTACATTTGAGAAAATGGAAAAAAAATACTACAAAATTACATGAGGAAAACAAGAATGAATTACATGTACAAGTCCAAGATATTGCTGACTGCTGGCATTTTTTATATCTGTAAAGAATATATATTTGTATTATATTTAACAGCAGTAGTTTTAAAAACATGAAATGTTTACTTACATTTAACCACATTTTTAAAATACGGAAGTTTAGAAATTATTGCTAGTACTTCTAACAGAACTGCTATTCAATAAATGTTAGTAATGTAAATAAAATTGAGAAAATTTTGTTTACACCCATTAGATAGACACACAAACACACTGTTACTGAAAGATATTAAAGCAGAAAAAATTCTAAATCAGTATTATATGACCAAGGTCTTACATGTGGCAAAAATAAGGTTCATCGATAACTTTGTGTTATTGTTTAACAAATAAATGAAGTCATCACGTAAGAGCTCATAAAAGTCTTTCTTAACTAGGTACGAATCTTAGTAAAAACAAAAAGAAAGAAAGAAAAGAAAACAAGACCATCTGGCCTAACATTCATTATTATACTTCACAATAAGAATGTTGTGATTATGTCACTGTGTGGGTATGTGATCCAATTATCAGTAATTTAAAATATTCACTAATGTAAAAATGGTTATTACACATTTATCTAAGTCTCTTGATATTGAAAAATTGCTATAATTCATTTTTCAAATATTGTTTCAAATATATAAAGATGTGTCTCTGGACTCTATTGGAAATATAAAGACAATAATAAACAGTTCAAGCGATAACATAATTTGTGGTTAGCTCCAGATAGGATACTTCTGTGTGTTTTAAGAAATAGTCTCAAGAAGAGAAGGGAGGGGAATGTATGAGTTGGGATATTTATGGCCTGAGTATTTAGCATGTAACTTTCATCAATATCATATATCAAGTGACATAATAAATATATAATTTATGATGAAATACAATCTAATTTAGATAAGACATATCAAAAATAGTCTGGGTCTCTTCTTGAATAGTTGTATCAAAGGTGAAAAATTGAATGGAGTTAGACATATTTTCTTATCACAGCCCTAAGAGTTCAAGCGATTCCATTACTCCTTAGAAGCCAGTGTGGTGCTTACTGGGGGTGTTGAAAGAAGCTGAGGACTTGAGCCAGCTGGTACTGCCAGGGTGAAGTGCTTTTATTGACACTGTGCTGACAACATAACAACAATGGAACAGCAAGAAGGAAATGCCTTCTTTTCTCCTCCTACCTTTAATCTCCCCTTGCTAGTGCCAAGTATGAACAGAACCTATTACGAGAGTTAACTGACAAAAGAAAAATGTAATTTACAGTCCCAACCAGTGGTATGCAGATACATATTCAGCAAGTAGGTTCTGGGAGAAAAGAGAAAGCCCAAATTGGTAGAACTTGCCTATATTTACGGTGTGAATATTTTCATCATGGTTGATTTCAAGGTATTAACATAATCCAACAATATGAGGACATTATTCAGATAAAATGCAGATATAATTGATGTGAATGACCTCAAAGTAGAAAATAGCAAGATGTAGTAAAATAATAAAAAAACGGTACATTTCAAGTACTCATTTTTTAATATTTAGTATAATTTATTTAATATTGTTTATATAATGGCTATTTAACAACCATCTTTCAAAAGTCCTCATAATTTAACAATTGGCTCTTGTGTGCTGATATGTGTTGACTCTAATACACCACTGTATCCCAGCCCAATATCAATCACATATTAGAAGAGAGATTAGATTTGGACCAGAGACAGTAGCTTAAAAGATTAGATGCAACTCACCCCTTTATTTACTCAGCTTAGTTACTTATTTGAACATCTTATGCTCTATCTAACAAGAATAAACTATTCTTTGTACAAAGATGTACTCAACCTCATTACCCAAATTCCAACAGTTTCTATCTCTGGGCAATGATAGTACCCTTTTATTTAGTCATTGTTCTAATTAAATATGAGAAGCTAAAGAATAAGCTGTAACATTAATAACTCCCAGCAATCCTTATATGCAATAATAAGAAAAAATAAAGAGTAAACAGAATTAGTTAATGTATACAAATATAAATGTGTGTAACAAACAAAAACAGTGATATACATAGCTGCTACAATCCTTTTTCTATAAATGGAGTTGTAGTTGATATTTGACCTCTCTTATTCCACTAACCATTTCATTTTCCCTCGAGTCAGCATCTTACATTATTGTGATTCTTTAACCGAAGATTCAGAATCTTCAGTGACCTTTTTTCCCCCATTGATTTTACACTAAGTATTATCATTTGCTATGGAAGGAATATGCATCTCAAAGAATCCAGTGTTTCAGACAAGGTCACTGTATAGCAAAAATCCATCTCATCTTTGATAATCAGGAACAATTACACCCATTAACTAAATCTCTACCTGTTGGTTCAGTGATAGCAAGAGTCCCAAATGGCCCGGGGACAGTCTCAACTTGGAAGTCAGTGGAGCCTTTTTTATGTTTCCTGATAAAAGCCTTTCTTCTATGATGATTAAGACCCCAAAATATTATCTCCCCAAATTTCTTGATTAGGAAAATATTTTCTGAATGGATTATTAGGTGTAATAGCAAGTAAAATCACTTTGACTTCCTGATTCCTGTACCTATGTATCATGGAATGGAAGAAACAACGCTATGTATAGGTTGCTGATTTACTACATAATCAATATTCTGTAAAATAAGACTCCAGTATTTCATGGTATTTATTTAATAACTAGTACCACAACTAAGTCTCTAAAAGGCTATGTTTTACTATTCTCTCAGGCTATTTCCTACAGGATGATGAGTTACATGATAAAATGAGTGATTCCATTGGCATGACCATGGCTGTACCTCTTTTGCGGTGAAATGAGTTACTCAGTAATGAGAAACATTATGTAAAATATGCATAGAATAAGGCATTTTATAAGTTCTCAGATGGTAGTGTTAGCAGGGAAAGGAAATCTCTATACAAATGCATGGCTATTCCATTGGCCCAATGAACAGAAAGCTAACATGAAGGAGAAAGTCTCTTTTCCCCTCTTCCTGGCTTCCAATTTCTCTCTAGTTCTTGCTATAGGCAGAAAACCAGTTTACAAAGGAAAACTGTTGTTTTCAGAGTCTACTCTCAGCAACAACACAATGCTGACTATAGAAGGGTAGACTGAGTCTGAAAATGTAGCTGACATTCTACCAAAACATTTCACCTTTTCACTACTCAGCATTCATAGCCACTTGTATATAAAACAACATTCATTTATCAAATAGCTACTGAGTACCTATTAGATATTAGACTTTGTGCTATAGGCTAAGGGTAACTTGGTGACCAAAAAAATAGATGTCTGGGCTCTCCTGAAGCTTATGTTATCTTCCTATATATTAACCAAATGGTCACCTTGGTTATGTATAATTGCAAACAAAAAGGAACTCAGGTATATTAAAAATATAATAAATACATTTGAAGTGATTAGAGGACTTCCTTGAGGAAGTAGTAGGGAGGCTGTATTGGAAGGCACACCTGTGTACAAGGGCCTTGTGGTGGGAGTGAAGAACTGTGAACTCATAGGGTTGAGTGTCTGGGCTATAGAGATGCAAAGCAATATATATATGTGTGTGTATACATATATGTGTGTATACACACACACACATATGTATTCAAAGAATTTTAAGGAAGATATTTTAGTTTTGACAATTTTATTTATTTACGTATGTATTTATTTATGTATTTATTTATGTATTTATTTATTTAGTGAGCCTTTTTATTGTTGTGTTTTTTTTTTTCTTTTTTTTAAATTGAGGGTCCCTTACTGGTCCTGTTTCCATGAGCGACCATGACCGGGTGGAAAAGGGGAGGGGAACCAGGCGGCATGGGGAGGGGTTATGGCCACAACATTCTATTTATACACAGAACTAAACAGACAAGCACAGAGTCACTATTGCGGTTAGAAGTTGGCAGCATGGGAGAGGGAGAACAGATGGGAAGTTGAGGTGTTGTTAAAAAAATACAGACCCTCCCCCAAACTGGGGTGCCTGTGGTAGGGGGTATTGGTCTGCTTCAACCCAAGAGGAATCAGAAACTCAGAGGCGGTTTGGGAAGGCCAGAACCATCAGGGGTGGAAGGAGAGGGAAGGTCCAGGGGGTGGGAGACTGACAACTGGGTGAAGGGCTTGCCCTCCCCCTGCTAAAATTCCCCCAGCCCCTCTGGTCTGGCAGGAAGGGGGCAGCCTGCAACCCCCACAGGCAGGTCTGGGGCTGCCAGATGCTCCAGGCAGGGGGCTGAAAGGGGCTCACAAAGGCTCGCCCTCCAGGGAGATGACCGCTCTGTCCCCCAGCTTCTCTGCCAGAGCGCAGTGGTTCTTGACCTCCTCGTAGCAGTTTGCTTGTAATTCATGCTGGATCCCTGTCAGCTTCTTGATGGCATCCTTGGAGCTGGCGTAGATCATTTTGCTCCTAAGGGGTGCAGACTCAGGGGGCCAGAAGATAAACACCAAGTCTTCCTTCTTGCTCTCCTTGGTCTCATAGGTCGCGTCATACAGGGCGTAGCGGCCGTCTTTGTCCGGCAGCACCTTGACAAAGGTGACAATGTTAAAATAAATATTCTATATTTTGTGGGGTTCTTAGTTGATAAATAGAAAACGGTTAATATATTCTGTGCATAATGAATTACAGTGAAATATTCTGTTATTTATAGGAGGAATATTCATTTAATGAAAGAGTTTTGGTAAATATTCAGAGCTTGACACCTCAAAATTTTGGGGGTGGGTAGTTGACAGGCCCCAACTAAATGCAGCTCAGGAAATATCATTTTATTGTAGTAATAACATGTGAAAGAAAAATTATAAAATAAAAATGTTTTTTGTTGTTTTGTTTTTTATTTTTAAGAAATACAAACAAATTAGCATAGGAGGTTCCACCTTTTGTAATTGCCACGACTCTCTTCATTAACTGATAATTCTCAAGTGTCTGTCCCAATGGCCATGTCTCCCAGGAAACTATTCCTAATGTATCCTCTCTTACTCTCATGTTCATTATCACATTCTGAAAATCTAAATAATGTTATTATTATTTAATGAAGAACCACATACATAGAAAAAGTCAGTATTATTAAAGAGTCCCTCTCCACCCCACCAAAATACCGGTTTTCACCACACGGCAGCTTGGAACAATAACTGACAAATAGAATTTGCTATATGAAACCTGGTCAAAATATGTTAGTAAATGCTATTGATCATGGATCAATGTGTGAATACTCACATATAGAACAGAGGGAACTATAAGTATCATTTTAAATAAAGCAGGATGAGACAGCTTTTACTATTAAGGAACTGGGAGTATATACTGTTTGCAAAATCTGGAAAAGAGTACAATATAAGAGGCTCCAAGGTAAGCTTCCCTCTCTGCACCCCTCCATGTCATTTCTTTGTGTGTTTTTTTTCTTTCTGTCTAGTTGGGACTAATAACTAAATTATTTAATAACAGTAAAATTTAAGCTTTCTTTAGAGTTATTATACCTTTTTACCAAATAGCCCTCTTCACTCCACACCATCTCAGGGAAGATTTCTGGCGAGGAAGGTAAAAATGCAGAATGTAGACGACCACGAAAATGTGTCTTCCACTTAAAATCCTATTTGAATACTTTGGAAGATTGCTTGCATTAATGACTTCAATTCTGTGCCCTTCCTTGATGTACTCTCTAGGCTATATGGCTTTGTCATTTCCAGTATGATGAGATGAAGAGTCCATATCCATGACCTTTGACTTTTGGGTTGGGCCAAGTGACTCACTTTGAACAATGGATAAAGTCCCTTTTTTGCACTTGTGCCATTGCCTCGAGAACAGGCATCTTTGAACCTGCTGGTTCACTGAGGGTGAGAGGGTCTCAGCACAGAGCCTTCCGAGTTTTGCTCCGTCTAGGTGCATTTATCTGCAGATACGCAAGCTAAGTAGATGCTTACTGAATATTAACTGTTTGTCATGCTGTGTTTCTGTGGCAGTAACTAACATAAATTTAATGATAGATTTAGGTTTAAAGTAATTTCACTGGGACATAGTGTGAAAGAATAGAAAATAAGAAAGCTTATCTTGATAAAAAATAACTCTCCTTCAAAGAAGATAATATCAAACTTCTCTCAGGGTTTTAAAAAAACCTTCTGAGGAAAGAGATTCCAAATGTTCTCCCTGCAACTATTACTCTTTGGAAATTCTTCCTTCTGAAGGTGAATCCAATCCTTAGTGTTTCAGTTTATGACATCATCTGGCCATCAGAGAATTTTAAATTAAATCGATTAAAACCCTTATTTTAGAAATTATTTTTAACTTGTAGAGAAAATCACTTTAAATTAATGCAATACATTTATCTTACTTTCCATTTCGATGATACATTCTTTTATTGTTTTATTCTTCCCTCCTTTTTTCTGTATTTTTTTTCAGTGTTCTTTTGGCTGTATTTTAGGTTTCCTTTTGAATTCTGTCAGGAAGGATTTATAAAAGAACCTAACAAATATGTAAAAATAAGAAGAATATGGTCCAATTTAAACATATGTTGGATCTGGGTAATATAATTGGTGGGGAATTTGACCCCTGCTTTGATGAATGCACCTGGGAAATTGGGAAAACTAAAAATAATAATCAATAGGATGGCAGCTAAGTTCTAGTTCAGAGAGAGCTCGTAGTGGTTCACTGTTTAAGTCTTATCCTTGGAGCCCCCTAGAAACGACCCTGCTGTCTCAGATCGTGAGGGTGAAAGCCTCGCTTTGTTTGGCAGAGCAGGAAGGAGCTTCATTGCTTCATGGTTTACTGCACTGCTTCACTAGCCTTCAAAGTGCCTACTTCATGGCACTTTATGAGTAAGTACCATTTGTCATATGTAGACAAACTAATATTTGAAACTAATGTTAACTTACAAGTCATGTTGCATCCCTGTCTGCCTGCAAGCACAACAGTACAAAATAAAAGCTACTATAGAGCTTATAAGAAGAGTCAAGGAGCCCTAGCTGGTTTGGCCTACACACCTAAGGGTTGTGGGTTTAATTCCCAGCCAAGGGCATGTTCCATCCCCAGGGGTCGTGTGGGAGACAACCAATCCATGTATCTCTCTCACGTAGATGTTTTTTTCTCTCTCTTTCTCCCCACTCCTTCTCTTCCACATTTATCCGAATCAAAGGGATATTATTTAAATAATTTGTGGATCAGATGAAGGTGTACATAAAATAACAGAATATAAAAGGGCAAGTAGATAACACATGGTTTTATGTAGGCTGAAGAATTCTTAATTCCATTTTGCAATGAAAATTGACTTGATATATTTGATCAGGTGGAGAAAAAAATGCCAGTTATTTTCCTAATTTGACTAGAAAGTTCTATACTTGCACCAATTTTTTTTTACAGTGTAGGAATATAACAATGTTTGTTTAATTGTTGCCTTTTTATTGTTAAAAATGCTGGGTTGTCTGATACGTCTCATAGCTATGTATGCAAAATGTCACACTTCTAGAGGCTATTACTTCTATCATGTTAACCAGTAATGCTTGGCAGGTTATAAGGCAAGCAGGAATTAGCAAATTCTATCCACTAGAAATGTTTTATTTTTCTCTTCCTCTAATAAGGATCAGACAGGTTCAGGGGACTGTCAATCAATACCCCTCCCGCTTTTTAAATTAATTTATTTATTTTTGTTACAGATGTTTCTCCTTTTTCCACCACAGATTCTCCCCCTCCCCCGCCCTGTCCCCAGCTTTGTTGTCCATGTCCATGCATACATGCATATAACTTCTGTGGTTTAGCTCTCCCCTCCCCTTCTGGGGATTGTCAGTCTATACCCCACTTCCACATCTCTGGAACTACCCCATTCCTCAGACTGTTATGTTCTTTATATTCCACAAATAAGTGAGATCATATGATACTTGTCTTTCTCTGTTTGGCTTGTTTGGCTTAGGATAATACTTTCCAGGTCCCTCCATGTCATCTCAAAGGATAAGAGATCTTTCTTTCTTACAGCTACATAGTACTCCATTGTGTATATGTACCACCGCTTTTTATCCATTTGTCTACTGATGGACATTTGGGCTGTTTCCAGATCTTAGCTATTGTAAATAGTGCTGCTACGAACATGGGGGTACATATATTCTTTCTGATTGGTGTTTCAGGCTTCTTAGGGTATATTCCTAGAAGTGGGATCACTGGGTCAAATGGGAGTTCAATTTTTAATTTTCTGAGGTAACACCATATTGTTTTGCATAGTGGCTGCACCAGTCTGCATTCCCACCAGCAGTGTACTAGAGTCCCCTTTTCTCCACACCCTCGCCAACACTTGTTGTTTGATAATTTGTTGATGGCGGCCATTCTGACAGGTGTGAGGTGATACCTCATTGTTGTTTTAATTTGCATCTCTCTGATGATGAGTGATGTTGAGCATTTCTTCATATGGCTCTTAGCCATTTGTATGTCCTGCTTGGAGACGTGTCTATTTAGTTCCTCTGCCTATTTTTAATTGTGTTCTTAGTCTTCCTTTTGTTGAGTTATATGAGCACTCTCTATAATTTGGAAATTATTATTATTATAATTTTAATTAATTATTGTTAACAAATGTTTCTTCTTTCCCCCCCACTGATTCACCCTCCTCCGCTCTCCCCACCCTGTCCCCAGCTTTGTTGTCCATGTCCATTGTTCATTCACACATGCATATAAGGTCTGTGGTTTATCTTCCCCCCCACCCCTTCTTCTGGGGATTGTCAGTCTTTACCCCACTTCCATGTCTCTGGGACTACCCCATTCCTCAGACTGTTAATGATCATTATATTCCACAAATAAGTGAGATCATATGATACTTGCCTTTCTCTGTTTGGCTAATTTTGCTTAGGATGATACTTTCCAGGTCCCTCCATGTCATTTCAAAGGATAAGAGATCTTTCTTTCTTATAGCTGCATAGTACTCCATTGTGTATATGGACCACTGCTTTTATATCCATTCGTATACTGATAGATATTGGGGCTGTTTCCAGATCATAGCTATTGTAAATAGTGCTGCTATGAACATGGGGGTACATTTACCCCCACTTTCTGATTGGTGTTTCAGGCTATGTCCTGTTTGGAGAGGTGTCTATTTAGTTCCTCTGCCCATTTTTAAATTGGGTTCTTTGTCTTCCTTTTGTTGAGTTGTATGAGCACTCTACATGTATTGGAAATTAACCCCTTATCTGATATATCATTGGCAATGATGCTCTCCCATACAGTGGGTTGCCTTTCCATTTTGATGATTGTATCTTTTCCTGTGCAGAAGCTTTTGAGTTTGATGTAGTCCCATGTGTTCATTTTCTCCTTTGTTTCTGTTGCCTTCAGTGATGTATCAGTGAAAATTCTGCTGCGTATGATGTCTGAAATTTTGTTGCCTACTTTTTCTTCCAGGATTTTTATGGATTCATTAGTCATATTTAAGTCTCATGTTCCTTTTGAGTTTATTCATGTGTATGGTGTAAGTTGATGGTCTAGTTTCATTTCTTTGCATGTAGCTGTCCAATTTTTCCAACACCATTTATTAAAGAGGCTGTCCTTACTCCACTGTATGCTCTTGCCATCTTTATCCAATATTAATTGAGCATAT